CGATCTGAAGGCTGAGTGTTTGAAAGTCACCAAGAGACGTCTGCCTCCAGAAATACTAGAGCTCACACGTCAAAGTGGAATCGAATGAGCTACAAGCGACCGCTAACTCACGAACGGACTTGCAAAACAATGCACAGAGGAGATGAAAGAAAATTCCGCACAGAAAATGTCAGCAGTTATGATCGAAGCTGCAGAGACTGAGAAAAGTGTTCGCAAAGCCCACTGAAGCTTCGGCAGTTACAAAACCAAGATTATTTCACCTCCGCTCCTTAGCGAATCAACTACAGCTTCCAGAAAAGCAGTGAAAAAAAATCATTCACGATTAGTACATGGTTCTGTTCCATAGCCACGTCCTTCTCCCCTCAAACGAAATAAAGAGGGATGGATATGTGGCCTCACCTGTTCTTACTCCTGAAAACCGACATGCTATTTCGTCAGTAAAGAATCAAAAAACACCAGCTTCGGGTAGCATACGATTTGAACACCTGAGTAACCTTTCACCTCTCCTTGTAAATACACTGGCTAGGCTTTTCATCTGTTACCTGTCGGAATGCAAGGTAAAAAGGATGACCTGTACGGTATCAGCAACTATCGCTTAACCTACTCGCTGTTTGTCGTCAATAAACTCTTCACTCAAGTCAAACTAAAAAGGTCTGACAACAGTGGACAAAGAACAGCCATCTGAGCAAGGAGGGTTTGCATTAGTCAGTGAAATGTAGGACGTTGGGTCAGTCTTCGGCAGTGAGTAATTACTAGCACAAAGTAGAATGCTCGGCTTTATATGAGTGCGCCACGTGAGACTTTTTCACGTAGACATGGAGAACAATTTCAAGCTTGCGTTATAATTGTTTATAGCAAAAAACAATAACATAATATATAAACTTTGACGATGGCTAGTTGAGCGAGCGGCAACTGCAAAATTGAGAAAAGGATGAGTGAGCACTTGAAAGAATCTAAGCAAAGCAGTGAACTGGAGGTGGAACTCTGAAAAACCGAGCTATATATCTGATATATTTGCTAAACTCCGGAGCGTAGGTGTCTGCGGTGGGGAACGAACGCGCTATTAGCCTTTCCGGGGGCTAACGCGTCCTCTACTACACCATGCAGGTCCCTCGTTTCGCCTGTCTCCCAATACTGTGTTCTCAATGTTAACATTGTCTTCTCAGCATTACTGTGGTTGTATCATATACAATACCCTGTCGTGAAAAGTTGTAATAGGCAGTAAATATGAAGGCAACATTATGATTTCGACTACAACCTTAGTTTAACTGAGTTCATTGCCCGTTTAGACTCTCACAACAATCCTGTTGGTGGGTGATTGCTGGTGGCACTGATCGATAGAATTATCTGAGAGACAAGCGAAACGAAGGACCCGCATGGCGTGGTGGTGAACGTTTTTGCCCCCGGAAAGGACAATAGCGCGTTCGTTTTTCAGAACAAGAACTCTTCAAGACGATTGCGCACCGCCGTTCATTCCTGCGACATGAGACCTCGCATCGAGCTCAATTGAATGAAGTAAAATTTAATTAAATTACAATCACTTTGGATTAGAGGTTGCTTTTTAGTGTTTGCCTAACCTCATATTCAGCAACGAGATAGCATGTCTGATGTAAAAATAACGATTGTTCCGCTTGAGGCTTTTGTTCGTGTGATGATGTGCCGCTCATGACGTGCAATTTCTTCAATTTCTTCACATCTCGAAAATAGGTAAATAAGACTCTTTACATGTAATACTAATTTAAACATAGCTAATTAGCAAGATAGGAGGCGAATAGCACTGTGGTAGTGATGCCTGTCATCATGAGCATGGTACTGGTTCGATTTCGCTCCAGACTAAGCAGGCCTTTTTTTCCCTCCGGCTTCGAGAATTTGCTACCGGACTTGTCTGGGAGAAATCACTCTCTGCAATCCAACTGGCAACACTCCATTCCATCTAACTCAGGACGCCAAGGAAAATCGACTCGAGCAGCATTATACGACATTCAAGGTGAAATGAAAATATTCAATGAACAGCCAAAGCCACACGTAAAAGTTGGAAGATATTTGTGGGTAAGGGGTGCATGGATACGAACCGAATATAAGAAGTTTTGGGATCACCACAGCAAGCTTGTATAAAATAAAAAAAATATAGCGAGATTTGCAAGTGTGCATGCAAGCAACATAAACATAGGAAGTGATTAGGAAGCGGTTCCAGCAAATAAGCTTCACGTCAAGACAGCGAGGCAAGCTACCCGGTAGTACATCCAGACGATCACGTGAAAACTCGGTGAGCTGCGTGTGTATTTCAAACGTGAAACGTAGTGAAATAAGTGGACCATTCTCCTGGCTCTAAGAAAACAAATGTTACAGCAAGAATGTTACAGGACCATGTTGGCTTTATAAATGGTGAAGCTCCAATAGGATTTCACAACCTTTGCGGCTTCGACCCTAACTACTGCTCGTCTTTATTTAAAATATTCTTTTATCGCCTCCCTACAATGTTTTGCAAACTCGGACAAGAGATGGCCGTTACCTCAACTTGTGTGATTCCGCCACTCCAAGAATCCGCTTGCTGCTGCGAATTGTGGGGCATTAGCGACATCGCATAAGCTTCGATTTTCTATAATGTGGTCTATTTCGTTATGACTCTGTCCACTAAAAGACTGCTGTGTCCAGCTTACGGCGTTCTTGGAATTGCGAGTTATCACGATCGGTCTTCTTCGTCATGATAAACTCAGGCAGCCGCTGAAACTGCTCGTTTTGTCGAATCGTATGCCTGTGATCTCATACAATAGATTCAGTACGATGCAGACAATATTCACTTATCGTTACGTTGATTAAAGAGTGGATTCAATCTACGGAAGATTTGTTGCACTCCAAACTACTTTAGTCGCATTGTAGATTTTGTAAATAGATAATTGAGATCAAACGAAGGTGTTAAGGAAACGCGGTACTGGCGTTTGTATGTGTAATTGTTCTATTGTTACATTGAACAAGGAAAGTATTCAAACTTTGCAAGATTTTCTATCCGCCAAATAACTTTGTTCGTTGTGTAGACTTTGTGTAAAAATTAAGAGCTTGGGATATTAATACATATGCATGCTATATCTTTTTTTGCATCATCCGTCATCACTGCCCGAATCCCAGAGCTTCTTACACTCAATTCATTTTCCTCGCATTCATCGTCCACAAAGATCATCGAACAATTCCTGCACTTTTCTCGCCTGCTGCTTGGAGATTTCGTCTTCTTGATCGTTTGTCGTAGATTTTTGGTAGAGTCGATTCTCCCTGCAGTCTCGTCGACAGTCGCACGTAACATCACGGCTCTGAGGAAGGCGAAGTCGCCGAAACGTCAGCCATCGATCAATAGCATCAAAAACAACGAAAACGACAACGAAGACCTGTACCAACCCCGCGTCAGCTTAAGAAGATCGGTTTATAAGATCACATAAATAAATACATTAAGGTTATACATACATACCTATTCAACGGCGACCGTTTCCGCAATCAGTTATTTTTACATAGATTTAATTTTACATGTTTCTTCATGTTTCTTTCTCTAACACAAAGTCGGGAACAATATTCTTTAAGAAAACAATTTCCGCATCCAATCAGGAGCATTTGGTTCGTGACAATGAAACCGGCGTAGGAGGTTTTGTGCCATCAATCATACATGAGTTTTTCTTCAACGAAAAGCAGGATGGCCCGAAAAGATGCATGATTGGATTTGACTCTTTCTCTATGATCTGGTGGAAAACGTCTTACTGCAAAAACAATGAGACATTATTTAGCAAAGCCAAACCAGCCCATGAATCTAAAACATTATTTATCAAAGTCAAAGTAGTCTATTAATTCAAAGCTGCAGACAAAGCTTGGTTCAACGACGAAACTAATCTTAAGGCTGAACCTCGAAACATTACACTGCTGGTGCTGGTTTTCTCTTTTTTTTTCGGATTATGAATACAATTAAACCGCAATAAGGCCTGCGTTTTTGCTATGGGCAAAAAATATTCCGAGCATAAAACTGTCATTTGGCACTCCAGTGTGCCAGTTCCACGATGAGCCTATGAAAAATACATCAAGTCGAGAATGTAGATAGACGGACATCAATCTGGGACTGAGAGATAGGATAGCAAATTGGTTAGTGATGCTGGCCATCAGGAAGCGAGGTGCGAGCTCGACCCTGTCAGCCCATGTGGGAACCGCTTACTCAACTGTCGACAAGACTGCAGGGAGAATCGACTCTACCAAAAATCTACGACAAACGATCAAGAAGACGAAATCTCCAAGCAGCAGGCGAGAAAAGTGCAGGAATTGTTCGATGATCTTTGTGGACGATGAATGCGAGGAAAATGAATTGAGTGTAAGAAGCTCTGGGATTCGGGCAGTGATGACGGATGATGCAAAAAAAGATATAGCATGCATATGTATTAATATCCCAAGCTCTTAATTTTTACACAAAGTCTACACAACGAACAAAGTTATTTGGCGGATAGAAAATCTTGCAAAGTTTGAATACTTTCCTTGTTCAATGTAACAATAGAACAATTACACATACAAACGCCAGTACCGCGTTTCCTTAACACCTTCGTTTGATCTCAATTATCTATTTACAAAATCTACAATGCGACTAAAGTAGTTTGGAGTGCAACAAATCTTCCGTAGATTGAATCCACTCTTTAATCAACGTAACGATAAGTGAATATTGTCTGCATCGTACTGAATCTATTGTATGAGATCACAGGCATACGATTCGAATTTGAAACAATGGGACCATCGCTGCCACTAGCGAAGCAGAAGCTTAAAGAAAAAATCGAAACTTATAGGGAAACCGTGGTATCTTTTAGAGCTCATTTTTACCGGTAACCCGTCAGCGTCAAATCCTCCTGAGCCTTTATCTCGACACCTCTTGGGCAGCCGCCTCTTTCATATCCACGAGAGATCGATCGGGCCTCAACCTCGATTTTCTTTCCCTCAGGCGCCTGAACGAGGTTATATTTCCCATTTATTGACAACATTGATTAAGGGATTTGTACCATAATCACGTAGTTGCAAAACATGAACTGATCCCTGAGATCGAGTCCAAAACCTAGTCTGTAGGAAAGCGTTTGTTTCTTACTAGCCGCCACCAGATCTTCTCCACGTCCTGGTGGCTGAAGCGATTTGAATTTTTATGCAAGACATACTGTTTATCTACAGAATCAATTCTTACCCGTCGATCACACAACGTGCCACCGTAGCCACTAGGACAAATACAAATGGAACAGTTTCGAGGGTGAGCAAATCCCTCGTTCGCACACTTAGCAGACGTCGACTTATTGCATCTTTCTGAACTGTTAAGATTCTTACAGCCTTGTAGAATTATAGTGCAAAATGGCTCTAGGTTCAACCGTTGCATCCATAGTGCTCATTGATTACAAAGATGTCGGAGAAGGAAATTATTTCAGATCCCATAGTCGTTTGATAACGAGGATCTCTCGCAAAAATGGTGGCCTGGCCGTTAATAGAACCACTGGAAGTTGTGTTTCTACTCTCATGAGATGAACCAGAACGCTTGGTGCAAACCTTAGTTCATCGTAGTGCATGATGCTTCCGTAGTCGTATCTCATCCCATATACATCAATATAATTTCGATGTGATTTTACGAACTCTTTAGTTTCACGTGGCTAAACCAGTAATTTTATGACCTTTCAAATATATTGGTCGCAAGCGTTTTCCGAAAGACCCACGTCAAGGTTTTGGCTGACTATACGAATGTAATTGTCGCGGTCACTTCGTTGTATTGTGTGCAAGAATCCAAAAGCATGGCCAATCTCATGGACAGCTGACCCTATCTAAAAGTTGTACCTGACCTAATACTGGAAAAAAACGTCCCTAAAAGAGAAAGAGAACACGTCATCTTGCAGAGTTCGTATTTCGAATGCGTCGCACCGTCGCGAAGCCTTCATTAAGAGAAAGAAATTGATCTCCACCGAGTCGTCCAATGTCCGCGTCCGCAGACATTACTGGTTGTTTGACCACGACCACTTTATCCCAAGCTGCAAGTGACTGATCAAAAATTTATGTCATATTTGAAGTTGAACGTAAGCCATACTATTATTGTCTTCCACAAAGTCGATACAGGTGGTGTCACTATATATCTCCATGCCCTTTTTGAATAAATTTTGAACGGTATGGTCTAAAATTTTAACCTCTTATTATAGACATGGAAAGATTTTGAAGCAATCTCTGAAAAATTACGAATTTTCTGTAGTGATGTGTGGTGAAAATGAGTAAGTCCATTAAAACGTCTACCACTGTGTAGTAAATGTAATACTAACAGTCTCATAACGACTCATCAAGAACAAACTAACTTTGTTTTATTCGGTTTCTATTACTCTGTTATGTCTAATTTTTGATTTCTTTGATGATTTGATTACATTCTCGCCCTTTATTTTTCAAAGCCTTCCTACTTATATTTCCCAATCATTACTATGCTCCTCCTAACGGTTTACACCCTCATTGTGGCCGGGAAGTGTTCCTGGATGTCGGCCTGTAATGCACAGCGGGAGATTCATCCCCTGGCAGAGTCTGCCAAGCTGAGAAGGATTTCGGCGTTTCCATCAGGAACCCCAGCTAAGAGTAAATGAATACCAGGATCCACCACCGTTCTGGTATCAAACAAGTCGCATTTTGGCTAATCTTCCTCATCCATAAAGGCGGCGACTGTCTGTGGTGGTGACGACCTGGGGCTGGCATTGGCAAGAAACGACCTGGGGCTGGCATTGGCAAGAAACCACAATGGCTAAACTAGCAAATCTTCGAAAAGTGGAGGTTGTGCTGGGACCGGCACAACTAGTGAAGGGAGGCCGTCCGAGTATCCAAGTATCCAAGTAATCATCACCGTGCCAGTGCTGATTCCATGCTGTGATTAGTTATAACGGCCAGAACAAGAACTTGTTTATTAAGATTATCTGGAACATATTCCTTCCCAGTTCCTGGGCTTTGCAAATACAGTTTCTTTACAAAGATTTTCTGCTGATGAAAAAATTGATTAATTATGTCGTGATTAGATGGAATTCGGCAGAGAAAACCGTAGAAGTTTAAAAGAGTTTTCCCAAATACTTGCGGTCTTTTTAACGTCATCAAAGCAAACCGGAAAAGTTTGCAAAATTAAGAGTACAACTGTGCACAGAACTAACCTGATGTGTTGAACGCATAGAATACGCCGTCCTTCCATGTCGAGTTCGGATAAGCCTCGAGCTTCAACACCTGTCGCTTTGAACGAACGCCACCTACCGCGTCGTTGAAGACCCGCTCGGTTTGTCCCGTGGACACGATCTGTCATAAGTTTTCGAAAGTTTTATAAATGAGCTCCTTCTCATAATTTACTCAGTGACAACGATGCTATTTTAGAGGAGAATTCGTCCAGTGGCACTATCTGAACTGATACTCAAAATCGGTTTATCCAAATATGAGTAGTAATCCTTTGATTGCTCCTGAGTAAGGAAACCCTTTTTTCAAGTACAAGAGTTGGGGCGTGCAAAGGAGTAAAAAAGGAGAAGGGCACCTTCAATCCCTGATTGACGTTCTTTTCTTCCATTGCAGATGAAAACAGCTCTTCCACCATTGCAACCGATGTGTCTGGAAAATTGTGTCGGGCAGAAAGAATTTTGCGTCCTTTCTAAAAGCTTTTTTATTACGAAAATACAAGACATACATAGGTGAGTTTTTTCTCACCTTCGTTTTTGCCTGTTTAATGTTTTCAGTCTCATCTCGATCATTAAAGAAGTTCATTATTTCAGTATTGACATCTATTAAGCCACATTCTACCACTGTGAGAGCTGTCACGAACAGTAGAATTATTCTCATTCCTTAATTTTTCGACTTTAGCAAACCTGATGTGAGCAACTGTTAAAAATTTTTTCGACTACTTAACTTTTCTTCCACCTCTACACAATACAGTAATACATTTTTATTGGCTATTAATTGTTAGCAAATTTAATGACCATCGAAAAGTGGTTTGTTTTCCTATCATGAAGATATTAGACCAAAATGTCCAATTATTGCGACTGAGAAAACTTGTTCAGCAATCGCGAGGTTTTTAAACAGCATACATTTACTTCCGGAAAAGAAGAAGGCGATACTGCCGAAACGTCAGCTAGCGTTGTATTTTTCTAGGGAAGTAAATGTATGCTGTTTAAAAACCTCGCGATTGCTGAACAAGAAAACGACGCATTCATATTCCAATGCCGAGGTTAATAGAAAGTCGATCCTGGCAACTATTACAAGATCTACCAGCAAAACACTTTCGACTTGTGAAGGAAGCATTGTCACTAAGACAGAAGATTGTCTTAGCTAGACAGCAAATCAACTTCCTCCGCCGCTGTTTTCAACATCGAGTCGTGCCGAAGTTTATAAAACGAAAGCGACTTCACGAGATATGCGGTCAACCAGAGGGCAGCCAACAAGTACGAGGCATCGAAATGGAACTACTTCGAGCTGCACTACGAAGCAAGCAGAACGAGATGTTTGCCAGAATGAAGAAGTGTGCAACGAAGGAACATTTTTGTGCTTTGTATTTGGAGGATCGCCTTTGGAGGAGGATAGTTGGTGGGTCAATATTGACATGCGGTTTTATTAGATCTAATTCCAAAATAACCTTACAACGAAAATTCGAAAATCTTTTGGACAATTCATATGTCTCAGCTTCAAGAAACAACCGCAACCGAAACATGTCCCGTCCTATACCTACTTATTAAAACACATAAGCTGGTATCACCTGATGATCATGCGTCAACCAATCCGTCATCATTTAAGGGTAGACCGATCATCAGCTGTGTAGGCGGGCCAACGGATAGAATAACCTGGTTTTTAAGCCTGATACTTACCCAGTTGCTTAACCACATTCCGGCTCACCTCACAAACACCCAAATGTTCCTAGAACGTCTACGTAACACGTCTCCTAATAACGCATACGTGATGGAGTCTTTCGACGTTACCGCACTGTACACCAACGTGTCGAATGACTCCGCAATGCAAGCCATCTTCGAACTTCTTGTTGAACATGAAGGAAGAATAAATATGCATTGCTTGTCTATCCAACAGCTAATGGCTCTCTTAAAGGAGTGCCTAAACTGCTCGATTTTCAGATGGTATGGGAAATATTTCGCGCAAATAAAGGGGTTGGCAATGGGACAGCGATTGGCACCAAGCCTTGGCATTATGTTTATGTCTAAGATAGAAACCCTTGTTCTCGTTCTCCGGCCACTACTCTACTGCAGATATGTAGATGATTGCATTGTCGTCTTCTCAACGCAATAGGAGATGGACAAATGCTTTGAATTATTGAGCGAGCAGTCCGAGTACATAAAGTTCACCCGGGAGAAACCGAGAAAAAACTGGCTTCCGTTTTTGGACGTTCAAATCAACCTATCAAGTAGCGGTTACTTGACAAAGTGGTATCGAAAGCCAAGTAACAAGTGTGTCGTTTTCTTGTTCAGCAATCGCGAGGTTTTTAAACAGCATACATTTACTTCCATAAAAAAAAACACAATACAATACAACGCTAGCTGACGCTTCGGCAGTATCGCCTTCTTCAGAGCCGCTTTTTTCGTGACTTCCAATGAGGAAATTTAGAACAGTTGACTATAGTCGCATGTGGTTGACGACTGCACCATCCCACCGACTGCACCCAAGTAACAAGAACATTCTTGTTCATTTCATTTCTTCACACAAAGAGGGCAATTGTGAGAAACATGTTTCGAACAGCTACCTCTGTGTGCACTACCAGGGAACTAAAGGAAGAATCTCGCGACTTGGCTCGGCAGATAGCCATCTCCAATGGCTACGAAATAGTAATCCCACGAGATAAGTTTACAAGGAGAACGACTCGCCCACGCGAAACACTTGGCCAAAAGAAAGTCCCGTTTATGTTGCCTTTTATAAGCGATGAAGTAAGCGTAGCTATAAAACGAGGCCTAAGAAAGGCAGGTCTAGAGGAATCGGTAGCGGTAGTTGAAATACTACCGGCTACTCTACGTCGCCAATTAGTTCGCAACCGCCTGTATGACCGTCTGTGTGAAACAAGAAATTGCGTAATTTGCCCTTACGGCAGGGAGGGTGATTGCATGAGTTCAGGTACGATATACCTGATCTCTTGTAATAATTGCGGAGATGAGTATATTGGCGAAACGGGCAGAACTTTGTGTATCCGTATAAAAGAACACCTAGATGGCAAACGAAAACTAAGACGAAGCACCCCACTAGGCACGCTTAGGATACAAAAGCATAGCGGAGACGATTTTGAAGTAAAAGTCAATATCCTTGCACAGGAGTCCAAAACACCAGCGCGAAAACTCCTTGAGGCTTTTTGGATCAATGACAAAAACCTACAATGAATAGCAAGGATGAATGCCCGGAGGTCATACGCGACCTGATCCCTTATGTTCGCATCGAGTTTTGATGTGGGATGGTGTGGTCGTCAACCACATGCGACTATAATCAACTGCTCTAAACTTCCTCACTGGAAGTCACGAAAAAGCGGTGGGTTTTCTCGAGAAGTTGTTGATCATGTAATTACCATAGAGTTTTTCGTCTTTTTGTAAGTGTTGTTGAAGCGTTTGGCCTAGTAGATTGTATGTCAGTATACCCTTCCAGGGTCTGAAGAAGGCGATACTGCCTAAAAGTCAGCTAGTGTTGTATTGTATTGTGTTTTTTTTATGGAAGTAAATGTATGCTGTTTAAAAACCTCGCGATTGCTGAACAAGAAAACGACGCATTCATATTCCAATGCCGAGGTTAATAGAAAGTCAATCCTGGGAACTACTGAGAAAACTATTTATATTTTCAATGTTAACTTCCTATTGGCTGCCTACTACAAAAAAACTTCAGCCTGAGCTTAACTGGGTTCATTGCCCATTTGGGCTCACCAGATCAATTTCGCTGAAGCATGGTTGCTGATGGTACTGATCGATAGAACTAGCTGAGAGACAGACGAAACGATGGACCCACATGGGGTGGTGGTGAACGTGTTAGCCCCCAGAAAGGTAATAGAGCGTTCGTTCCCCACCGCGCTCTCCTGCGGTCCGGAGTTTTGTAAATATCTCAGGACCACTGTGGTTGTATTCCTAATTCATAATTTTAATATTACTAGGATTTAAATACAGCTTTTTTGATACTCCTATGCGTTCGTAGTTTCTTCAGGGTCTAGGCA